CGAGTCATAAGTTTACGCCTTCGATCGGCCCAGACAGATTCATAAGCTTACGCCTTCGATCGGCCCAGACTGATTCATAAGTTTACACCTTCAATCAGCTAAGACCGATGCATAAGTTTACGCCTTCGATCGGCCCAGACCGACCCATAAGTTTACGTCTTCGATCGGTCCAAACTGATCCATAAGTTTACACCTTCGATCGGTGTAATACTTTCTCTCTAGCTAGTATACTCGGAAAATAACAGTAAAACTCACTAAATATATATAAGAAAATATACATATAGATGAGGATAAAATAATGGGCCCATAACTAATTTTTTCTTTATATACAAATCTTTACATAATATAATAAAGTCACAAAACAGTAACTCGATAGTGTTGCCAAAACCCTTCCACTTCTTGACATTCCAAGCGACCGCATCTCACCTACTACCTGCAAAAACATTTAAAACAATGGGGTGAGCACTAGTTGCTCAATAAGTAAACCCACTCTGCTACCCTTCTCTCTCCATTGCTTAAATTCTGAATTTCTTTCCTTACATCACACTTCTCTATTCTTTTCTGTTCTTTATCTGTTCTTTCTCTATTCTTTCTCTATTTTTTCTTTGTTCTTTCTCAATTTCTAATTTCTCACTACCCATGATAATAGGCTTGGTATTATGCATAGATACGATGCAAATGCACAAATGCATAGAATGTGCATTTTCTTTTCTATTTTTCTTATTCTGTTTTCTATTTTCTGTTTCTTTTTCTATATTTCTTTCTTTCTTTCTTTTCTAGTCTTTCTTTCTTGCTATTCTTCCTTTCTTTCTTTCTTTTCTATTCTTTCTTTCTTGCCAATCGGACTCAGTTGAGGCATGAATTTGGAACCTTGGCCATGTGAGTGTATTCTCTAATTCTGGGTATAGTCCTCATCCACATGCACTTCTAACGGACTATACCATTCTGAATTCTGAATTCTTAGGCCGCTCATTAAAGGCGGCGTGCATACGGGGCTATGTCACTCATAGGTTCCCCATCGCAACAACCTTCTCTTCTTTTATCTTTTTACACTTCTTTAAATAAAAATTTAGATTTGAATTTCTTTAATATTCTCATTTCTTTCTATTTACTCTTTAATGTTCTTTAATGCTTTTTCATGCTCCTATGAGTATGTATGCATGTAGATGGGTTCCTACGTATAATTCTTTCTAAATTCACATGTTTAGATGCAATAATGCAATATAGAATGCAAACATGTCATTCTCTACCATCTACTAACCCATCTCAAAATAACACATAATCATACTCATACATGTACTTCTCTTTGACATTTCATCGAACAATTTGTGTGCACATCCAAGCTCTAAATTGGCTACACTTTTACTTCTTTTCTAAGCCATCAAAATTTGGAACAAAATCCTCTAAGATTAACACCAAATCTGTCCAAAATGTACACTCCATAATTTCTACTCCTATTCTTCCATAATTCATCCAAACTCTCATCAAACATCAAATACACCAACACTACTTCTCATGGATAAGTTCTAACTATCATTCAACATCAAATCCATCAACAATTCTTCATATAAAAACACATATATGCATAAAGGAAATTCTCTACACAATATTGCTTCAATCATAACTAGAGTAGGATTTACTTACCTTAGATGTGAGCAAACCAACACTTTAGTAATCTTCTTTGATCCAACTCTCTTTCTCTTAAATCCTATGAACACAAATCATCAAAATTCAACACTTTAAAAATTAAAAGTCACTTCTTAGTGCAAGGATCTAACCTAAGGATGCTTGGAATTGAAATTCCACTAAAAATAACCCAAGATCTATGAATTTCCCTTGAAAAAGAATTGAAGAAATTGAGAGAATTTGGGAATGAAGGTGGCGTGAAAGTGGAGGAAAAATGGCTAGGGTTTCATTCTTCAACTCTTGATATAACATATTATTATTTATAGTTTTCCATTTTACCCTTGTACTTTTTATGAAATTCCATCTTTGTCCCTTAGTCAATTACCAAAATGCCCTCATTTTATTGCATTCTTCATGAAATTCTATCTCTTTTCACTCCCCACTTTTTCAACTAATTATGAGCGAAAAAACCATTTTACCCCTAATGGAATTTGAGGGAATTTTCTTCACACTTGTTCAAGATAACTTTAACAAAATTCAACTAAGGGTATAAGGGCATAAGTAAGGCTACATACCTCAATGTGGGCGTTACAATCAGCCTAGACCGATGCATAAGTCTACGCTTTCGATCGGCCTAGACCGATTCATAAGTTTACGCCTTCGATCGAACAAAACCGATTCATAAGTTTACACCTTAGATCGAACCAAACTGATTCATAAGTTTACACCTTCAATCAGCCCAGACCGATTTATTGATTTACACCTTCGATCAGCCTAAACCGAGTCATAAGTTTACGCCTTCGATTGGCCCAAACCGATTCATAAGTTTACGTCTTCGATCGGCCCATACCGATTCATAAGTTTACACCTTTGATCGACCCAGACCGATTCATAAGTTTACGCCTTCGATCGGCCCAGACCGATTCATAAGTTTACGCCTTCAATCGACCCAGATCGATTCATAAGTTTACGCCTTCGATCGGCCCAGACCGATTCATAAGTTTACGACTTCGATCGGCCTAGACCGATTCATAAGTTTACGCCTTCGATTGGCCCAAATCGATTCATAAGTTTACACCTTCGATCGGCCCAAACTAATCCATAAGTCTACGGCTTCGATCGGCCCAGACTGATGCCTAAGTCTACGGCTTCGATCGGCCCAAACCGATTCATAAGTTTACGCCTTCAATCGGACCAAACCGATTCATAAGTTTACATCTTCAATCGGCCCAGACCGATTTATTGATTTACACCTTCAATCAACTTAGACCGATTTATAAATTCACACTTTCAATTGGCCCAAACCGATTTATATATTTACACCTTCAATCGGTCCAAACCGATTTATATATTTACACCTTCAATCGGCCCAAACCAATTTATATATTTACACTTTCAATTGGCCCAGACCGATTTATAGATTTACACATTCAATCGGCCTAGACCGATTGAAGGACTTGCACCTCAAATCGACAAGTCATCAACCCAATCCACACAATGGTCCATCCGACCTAACGAGTTGCTATCACTAATCTGCTCAGTCTGCACTCATTCGATTAAATCTACTCTCTAAGCTAAATACTCTTTAACTTAGAGAGTGGGGGGGCTAACTATTAGGGCAAAAAATCGTCTTGAGCCTAATGAGGCCCAATAACGAAATAAACATGTCACGACCCAAGGCCTCAGCCCAATCCCGATTGGGCCTACGCTTAAAATCACCTTGTAAACTATCCACTCTATGAGTTGGGCTATCCTATAATTTAAGCTAAACTGGGTTTCAGCCCATTAGCTTGCAACAGTCCATAAATAGGAAATCATAATCATAGTCTATTTCCTTTTCTGCTAAGATTCTTAATCCTACTCAAACTATTAAACTTAATCTGATAAAATCAAGAGATCATATTTCTTTCTTGATATGGATTATCTCCCAAAAGATGACTCAGTGTCCTACTAGGATTCCAACCCCTTGGGTTCACTATAAAAACAGAGGCCTACCCTCTCATTAGGGGGAAGGCTCCCATATTCAATCTACACTACTCAAAACCATCTATTTGCTCCTAAAGTCCTAAAGTTCTTGCTCCCAAGAACCCAACGCCTCCGCCATAGTCCTACCTTCCGACAATGCTCCTGGTAATTCTTCATCTCCTTAATTCTTATCCAATAATCTCTTTCAGCCTTGCTGATTTGAACGTCGGAGTGCCTACGACAAACACCACCCCAGTGTTTTCCGGAAGCTTCAAGCTTGTCCTTTCATGTGTACAGGTCTAGCAGATTGTCAATGACCTTAACCTCACGGGATCAGACCCTATTTTCATGACGGTATATTTTTTGCATCTACAGTCACCATACTCAATAACATTATAACAAGCTTATAGTCCAACCATTAAGGCACACAATGGAATGGCTTCATCAAGTACAAAATTATATCAATTGGGGCATGGTGAAATTCAAGAACAAAAATATTGTAAATGTGGGTGGAAGACCAATGTGAAATTATCGTAATCAATAAAGAATCTCGGTGACTCTACTTAAAATGTGTCAATATGGATACCCTTACGGATTTGGTTTTGATATTCTAGTGAAGATGAAATTATTTATTATTGACCATGTACCCAAAGATGAAAGATTACAAGTTACAACATGACAACATCATCTTTCAATCCATGATATGCAAGAAGTAAATGAAATCCTAGTTAAGCTAAAGAGAAGCTTAAAGTAATTGACAAAAACAAAAGATGACAAAGCTAAAGAGAAGCTTGAAGTAATTATTTTGTCGTAGTTTATGATGGATTTTAGGGAGGCTCTGTGGTGGTTTATGATGAGTGATGTTGGTTGAATTTAATCCTTTTGATTTGATTGTTAAATTATTGGGTAAAGAGAAAAATTGACGAAGTTTGATGGGTAGAAAAGAAAATTTGATAAGTTTTGTGATGAGTGAGATATTGAATTGTTTAGGAAAATATTTTAACAAACTTTAATGAAGGAACGTTAACCAAACTGGGTTTCGAAATCAATTAAGTAATTATTTTTTGTGTTAATGGTGTCACGTCAGAAGTGAAACCGAGGGGTAAGAATAATACTTACTAACAATTTTCATTACGTAAATTTTTTTTTATAATTTTGATGTAATAATTTATAATTGATTAGTTTATAATGAATTTTACGTTAATCCCGTATGAGCTTTACTAATTAATTGTAATGTCAGGTTATGAAAGAAAGTTAAATGAGAAAGAGTTATGGTGTAATATTCTATAGATTAAATAACCGGTATTCACTATCAAGAATAAGAATAAGATAATAGCGAATGATAGTGTGGCCACCAGTTCTGGAGACCAACGTAGTCTGAATGTAACAGAATGATCGTCCATTCATCTCCTCTGTCTTCGTCTATCCCCATCAAAATTATGTGCTCTTCTCATAAAAATGAACTCAAAATTGCAAGAGAGAGACCAACATTATGTTCCTGTGGTTGTGGAAGAAGGCATTTCATCGAAGCAGCAACGGCTTCAGCTTTACTCCCACTAAAACCTTCCACCTCTTCTGAATTACCTTCTGATTACATGGTACGTCAATGTCTATTAGTTGTAGTATTTTACTCGAAATTTTATTTTTATAAGGAAAGATATATAATCTGTGAAGTTAATGGATCCTGAAAACTATATTTTTTAATAGTGAAGTTACAATTTGATGTATTTAGTATATGTTGAAGAGGGTTCATCCTCCAAGACCGGATTGGTATGAGGAGTTCTATGCGTCGGTTATGAATTCAAGCATGGACTCATATGAGGCAGAGGTTAGTGTCCATTTCAAGTGAATAATGAATTAGTTTAAAGTTTATTGACTTTCTCCTTAAATTACTTCCCTTTTAATGTCCATGGCGCACTCGAACAGATGAAATTTCTGTTCTTTGGTTAGATTGCAGGTTACAAATCACAGATATTTGGTAATTTGAGGGGAAATGCAGAGAAAGTGTTGGAGATTGGGATTGGCACTGGCCCTAATCTCAAATACTATGCTAGTGATCCTAATATCCAGGTTTTCGGTGTTGATCCGAACAAAAAGATGGAAAAGTATGCTCAGGCAGCGGCAGTGGCTGCTGGTTTACCTCTCACAAACTTCAAATTTGTCCAAGCAGTATGCGTACTAATTAGTAATGTGGCATGAATACATTATTGATTTTTTCTTTATGATGTTAATTTCTGCCCGGATGTTATAGAGTGGAGGAAGAAGTATCTCCACATTTAGGAATGAACCAGATCCAGCATAGAACACTTGAATTTCTTTATATTCCTTTATGCAACCAAACCAACATAAATTAAAATGTGGTATATCTTAACCAGCAAGCTGATTTATTCAAGGAAGAAAAGCATAACTGGCCATGTTCTTTGCCTTACTAGGGCATTTAAGTCTTAACTTCTTCAGTTTACGGTTCCTCCTACCATAACCCATAGGAGAAACTCATACACGAGTGATTAGAACATTTGGTCTTCCATTGAGATTTAAGGAGTTAGATAACAAGAGAAGATGCAATTTTATCACTGCATTGTTTTTCAACATTGAGTTCGATAGCATAAGATTTTTATGTTGAAACATCTTTAGGAATGTTTACTTAATTAATTTTTCTCTTTTTGTATTAGAGCCTGAATATTAACGGGTTTAAATACTATTGTTTGGGCCTGCCCTTGATAACTTAAGTGTTGAGGTTAAACAATTTTTTCAAATAGTATGGAGCAAATGTCTGTGCCGGTATCTGTATATGCATTTGTGTTTGGTATTGGTTAAGTTTATTACTTTTACTTCTAGTAGTTGAAAACTTGATTGATATTTCTTTCTTAGTCTTATGTACACTCATTTAGTTCTTTGCATAATGAGGGTGTTAATGACATCCACCCATCCAGGTTGGGGAGGCAATTCCAATGAGTGACGAGTCTGTAGATGCTGTTGTTGGAACACTTGTATTGTGTTCAGTTGAAGATGTTGCCATGACACTACAAGGTAACTGAGTTTTGAGGTTCTTTGCTTCTTCTGAGATTATCCAGTATAAAGAGTTAATTTCTTTGAGTAAATTATTGATTCAGTGATTCTGACTTTTTGTTAATTAAATGAGAAACAGTCTGTGTTTTCCATGAATGGTATCTTTTGTGATTTGAGTTGATTACTTTAACTCTTGAAGAACAGAATATAATCAGACAAAGTTATTGCACATTGCATTTGAAATCTTACACTTTTGTTTGCTGTACCATTTTTTCTTTAAATTAGAACTAAAACAAAAAATCAAGTCATTACTACAATTGACATAGACAATTTGAATGAAAGGTCTTCATCTAAAATCTAAAATGAAGCCTTTAAATGACAAAAAGTAGGCCAATATTACTTGCAGTTATATGATTTCAAGAATTTTCTTTCAGGGCATTTTAAAATTTGTCAAAGTTTTACCAACTACATCATAAATCCATACGCAACTTGATATATTGTTGATATCAACTAATTTATAACTGATGGAAGGTAATCAAAATTATTTTGGTTGCATGATTTCTTTTTATTTAGATAGCTGGAGTGATAAAGTTCAATTTTTACAATTTTATTTAGAGGTAAAGAGGGTGCTGAAACCCGGAGGGAATTACATATTTGTCGAACATGTGGCTGCAAAAGGTATTAAAAGATGAAATTTGTAGCGTTGGTACAAGAGAAAAAAGGTTTGTGATTTAGTGAATGTGGTTTGTCATTGTTAACACTGTTGCTGTTGTTTTGATGGTGCAGACGGAACACTTGTTAAATTCTGGCAAAGTGTTCTAGATCCTATACAGCAGACAGTTGCCGATGGTTGTCACCTTACCAGAGAAACAGGAAAGGACATATCTGAAGCTGGATTCTCAGGACTGGAACTTGGGAATGTATTTTTGTCTAATGCCTCACTCATAAATCCTCATGTGTATGGTATAGCTTGTAAATAGCAACAATAAACCTCAGGTCTCAGTCCATCAGATTTTGATTTGAAGGCCAAGTTAAATATGTCTTCCCATTATTTACAATCAGTGCAAAGCTTTGACTAGCACATGTAGCTTGATAAGAATTTTTGGAGTTTATTCCTTTCAAAGGGATGAATAATGAATATTTGTGCAGTGGGCTTGTTAATTTGCATCATTCAAGTTTCATTATTTGGTCTCTTGTATGTTTTCAGTAACATTATTTATCGTGATGTCTAGTTCTTAATTTAAGATAGCCAATTAAGTTTTGGACATTTTGGTGTGTAACCGAAGATCGAGATAGAAACCAGTTCACATCACTCAACAACACAACCTGTCATATAGCCATTTGACCATTTCATTTTGTTGAAAAATGAACCTATTTTGGTGCGTGCAAACATGGCTCAAGTTGAAGAAACAAACAAGAAACGAGAAAGTGCAAACATGGCTCAAGTTGAAGACACAAAGAAGAAACGAGGAAGAAGTAAACGCATGCCGTGACACAAACGTGTCTTGATGAAGAAAAGGAAGAAAGAAAACTGCAGCAAAATGATGAAGAAGGCAAGACGACCGATCGCTGCAGCGACAGAAATGGTCGCTGCAGCGAGCGTTGAGAAGCAACACTGAACGTGAAGAAGAACAACAGCTGCGACGATGGAGATGGTGGCCGCGGCGAGCGTCCTGGACCGCAAAGTTCCAGCTTTATTCTTTTTCCTGTTTTCTAGTATTCTAGTTTTAGAATAACTCTTATTCATAAGAGATTTGGTTGAGTCAAATTAGGAAAGTAGAACTTGATTAGGAATATTAGTTCATAAGAGTTTTGCTTGTATCTAACTAGGAAAGTAGAATCTATTTTGAAGTAGAAGTAGTATTTCCTTTGTTGTATAGAAGTAGTTAAACATTAATGAAAAATTATGAGAGTTCATTGTTTCCTTCAGTAGAAGTGTTAGAGTATATTGCTTCCAATTCCAACAATTGGTATCGAGCGGAGTTTTCTTAAGGGATCTGTGGAAGGGTTATTAAGAGGAAGAGCAAATACACTTAAGAGAGAAGAGAATCTGAAAAGAAGATGGCTCCATCATACTCAATGCCACCAATTCCTATATTCACAGGTAATCTCTACCATATTTGGAAGGTGAAGATGCAGGGGTTTCTATAGGCTGCTGATTTGTGGGAAGTCACCAAGACAGGAGGAGACTTTCAAGAACTGCCTGAGGATCCAACAATTGATCAAATGGAGTTACAAAAGGCAGCAGATAGGAAGAGAGCAAGGGCTCTGTTATACCTGCACTCGGCTATGAGTGAAGACATCTTTATGAAGATCATTGCTTGCACTACCGCCAAGGAGATTTGGGATAAGTTGCAGACAGAGTATCAAGGTTCTGAGAAGACAAGGAACATGAAGATCGTCACATTGAAGCGGCAACTCGACAATATAAGGATGTCAGAGACGGAGAGTGTATCGCAATATTCTGATAGGCTAATGAAGATTGTGAATGAAATCAGAATCTTGGGCGAAATCCTTCCAGAGGAGAGGTTAGTCGAAAAAGTTCTAGTAAGTGTGCCAGAAAAGTTAGAGTCCAAGATTTCATCTCTTGAAGATTCTAGGGATATTAAATCAATGTCATTGGCTGACTTGATAAGTGCTCTTGAAGCATAAGAACAAAGAAGGAAGATGAGAGATGAGAATGGGCAAGAAGTTGCTCTAAGAACGAAGGCTCAGATTTCAGGAAAAGGTAAGGCATACGGAAATAGAAGAAGTCAAGCTTTTTGCAACCATTGCAAAAAGAACAATCATGTAGAGGATGATTGTTGGTACAAGAATAAGCCAAACACATGCTGGTTCTGTAATAAACCAAGTAACCTTCAGAGAGATTGTGATCAAAAGAAGAAGAATCAACAACAAGAGCAAACTAATGAACCACAGCAAGAAGTAAATGTTGCGAAAGAAGAAGATGATAAAGAAGAAGAATTGTTGTTCACTGCCATGATAGTGGACACTAAGAAGCACAACGATTCATGGTTTACTGATAGTGGATGCATCAACACATGATAGGAAAGAAAGAGATGTTCACTAAATTGGAGGAAATGAGAGGAATGGTGAGACTAGGTAATGGAGACAAAGTGCCAATCAAAGGAAAAGGTACCATTGCTATTTCAACATTAAAAGGTACTAAATTAATTTCTGATGTTCTTTTAGTGCCTAATTTAAATCATAATTTGTTGAGTATTGGTCAAATGATGCAAAAAGGATTTGTGTTTGAATTTGCGAACAATGTGTGCAAAATAAAAGACTCTAATGGAGTTGAGTTTATAAATGTGGCCATGAGAAATACAAGCTTTATAATGGATTGGAGCGCTATGGATGTTGAAGCCCTTAGAAGTAAAGAGAAGAAAGTATCGATGTTGCCGACTGTAGAGGTCATAGATAAAGCATATGGGAGTTGCCAAGTAGGAAGGCAACATAGATTGAGTTCTCCGAGTTCTACAACATGGAAAAAAGAAAAAGATCCTCAAGAAAATGGAAGGGTAGATAATGTGGGAGCAAGAGGAATGAGGTCTCTTGAGGAGATTGATCAAAGTTTTAGAAGCACCATGTTAAAACCAATTAAGGAGTATCATTCGAGTCAAGAAGCGAAGAAGTCAAAGGAAGTGAAAAAGAAGTATGGTGGCTCCAAACTTCAAGTAATGGAAATGTCAAAGAACTTGTGTGCAATGAGCACCAAAAAGGTTCAAGGAGGAGTGTTGAAAAATGAACCTATTTTGGTGCGTGCAAACATGGCTCAAGTTGAAGAAACAAAGAAGAAACGAGAAAGTGCAAACATGGCTCAAGTTGAAGACACAAAGAAGAAACGAGGAAGAAGTAAACGCATGCTGCGACACAAACGTGTCTTAATGAAGAAAAGAAAGAAAGAAAGAAAGAAAACTGCAGCAAAATGATGAAGAAGGCAAGACGACCGATCGCTGCAACGACAGAAATGGTCGCTGCAGCGAGCACTAAGAAGCAACACTGAATTTGAAAAAGAACGACAACTGCAGCGATAGAGATGGTGGCCACGGCGAGCGTCCTGGACCGCAAAGTTCCAACTTTATTCTTTTTTTTGTTTTCTAGTATTCTAGTTTTAGAATAACTCTTATTCATAAGAGATTTGGTTGAGTCAAATTAGAGAAGTAGAACTTGATTAGGAATATTAGTTCATAATAGTTTTGCTTGCATCTAACTAGGAAAGTAGAATCTGTTTTGAAGTAGAAGTAGCATTTACTTTGTTATATAAAAGTAGTTAAACATTAATGAAAAATTATGAGAGTTCATTGTTTCCTTCAGTAAAAGTGTTGAAGAGTATATTGCTTCCAATTCCAACACATTTTCATCACGACAGGTCACTTTATAGACAACTAACTTCATATAATGTTACATCAAGATAAAAGCCCCATAACGCGTCCACGTGAACGGTGTGATATGACATGTGCATTTTCCATAAGTTTCTTTGGCTGCTTATGATTTTTTTTTTTTTTTTATAACTTTAGTTTCACACTTTCACTTAGGACTTAAACATGTCTAAATGTTTTTAAAAGCGAGATTAATTTGTTTTTTAAATTCATCGAGTCTAATTACAAAATTTAATGGATTTATCCTTATACAGTATTTGAATAATTATTAATTTTATGAAATATTTTAAATTTAAAATCTGAGTAACTAGTTATCAATAGGAAAAACAAATCATCGAACATTTTTCCAACAAATTTTGATAATAATATCGGCATCAAAAGAATTGTCTCAGAGTGTTAAAAAGACAATCATTTGATACCAAAATTATCACCAAAACTTGCCAATTTTTTTTCCAAACACCATATTGTGCAATAAGACTCTTTAGNGCTTTATGGAGAGAGAAGACGGTGATTATTAAGAGCAAGAATTTAGGAGCTAAAGCTTAAGGGTGTTTGTGAATGAATAATGAAAGGGCTAACCTCTGTTTATATAGTGAACCAAGGAGGTTGAAGTCCTAGTAGGACTCTGAATCCTACTTAGTAGAAGAATTTGAATTAGGAAGAAAGTATTGTTACTTGCCTTTATTAGATTAGGACTACCAATTCAAGTAAGATTCGAGATCTTGACTGAAGTGGAAAATAAATAGGATTCTGATTCCTATTTTGGGATGAGTGTGGGCTAACGGACTAGCGCTAGATTTAGTTTAACTTATAGAAAGACCCACCACATGGAGTGGCCCAAAGCATAAATTGGCCCCAATTCGCAAGGTGGCCTTACTCGTAGAGAGGCCCAACTCGTGAAGTAGCCTAGCTCAAGGATAAGATTATTGGTGGTATGATCCAACTCATAGAGGGGGTCGGCCTATAGAATGTTTCTTCTCACAAATTGGGCCATCCCATAGGATGGCCAGTCTAAGAGATGGATTTAACGTAGGCCCAACTGGAATTAGGCTAAAGTACTGGGTTGTAATATGTTTACTTTGTTGTTAGGCCTAATATGGTTTTTTGCCCATACAATTTGTCCCCCACTCTCTAAGTTAAAGGGTATTTAGCTTAGAGAGTAGATTTAGTTACTTGTAGTGTAATGTGAATGGATCGTTGTCCCTTTGGAGAGGATTTGACTTCAAGAAGTACATGTGATTGCCACAGAGGCATAAACAGTTCGACTCGGCCCGTATGGCTAAGTGGAAAAGAAAGGCCGAGTAGAGTCACTTAGATCCTTGATTGACTCAAGCAAGGTGATTAAGGTTCATAATCCTCTTGGATCGAGTGGTACAGGCCGAGCCAGGAGAAGCATGAAGAGACTATAGGGTACTCTATGTGGTGTGAAACAATTATGGGACCATTCAACTCGACTCATGCTGCCTAGTGGAGGCAGTTGACTGAGTGAGAAACGTATAATTGAGTTCATTTGAGGAGATTTAAGAGGCGTGGTACATTTGCATGTCCACAAGACTCTTGACTTTCTCTTGGCACCGGTAGTGCAGGGCCAAATGAGGTTCCATGGGAATACCGCAAGGCGAAAAAGAGACATGAACCGAGTGCGTAATCGCCATGTAGTATAGAGAATGCTCCATGAGGTGGCTTGGGGCTTCCTTCATGTGACTATCACATGGCTGCAAGCGGACTTCGCATGTCTGCTAGACTAACCAAGCAGAGTGAGAGGTACTGTAAATTGATTTGTTGAAATCAAAGAAATTGAGCCGAATGG